GCTCAGGCAGCAATTGTACAAAGCACTGCAAAAAGTCATGCACAGAGCACTTTATTTACAGAATCCATGCTTATCAACCATCTAGCTACTTGTGCCCCTTGAAACTCTCTGCAGCTTCTACAAAGAGTCAAGTTAGGTATGGTCATGTGTAGATGGGAGGATAAGTGGGCGAAAACTGAAGTAAGTTAAGCAAAAAACCCATCAGCAGTCTGCTTGACTCAGCTCTTTAAACAAACTGCTAGAAGACAAAGCAGATTTTTTTAAGTACTCGATGCTTTTGTCATCAGCACTGAACAACAGCATTGGAGCCAGCATTTTTGTCGTTGACTCAGTAATTGTTGCAAAATTCTGGACATTTCTCTGGTACTCTGTTTGCAATGACATTTTAACATTCATGGACTATGACTCTTTATTATTATTTTTTAAATATCCAAGTCCAAGCTCTTTGATTACAGTAAACAATTACTTGCCACAAATACCACATCAGCGTCCAGATGTAGCAAGAACAGCTGCATTAGAGTTTGTCCTTCAAACGCCAACCTGGCTTTTGCAACAGGATCATGTCACTCCAGGTTTTGGGTGAGCTGCTCAGTACTAATTCTATGGGTCTGACTCTCTGAAGAGATAATGAATAAAATTCAGTCAAAATTCTGCAATGTGTATGTTGTATAATTCATGTCGGAGACTGGCACACGGTCAACCCAGTAGAAGCACTGGGTGAAGACCACTGGTACTCTGTGCGTGGCAAAGGCCTCAGGAAGCCCTGGCTGAAGGAGGAGTGGATTTCCTATTGCTTGGATTAGAGGTCTCAGAGATGTGAAGCACATTCTCTGGTGGTGGTGCCCCTAATTTTGTGCCCCAAAATGGCCTATGGTTGTGCTAGAGGGGCAAGTGGCCTGCAGGCGCTGCGTAAGCCATGTGGCCGATGAAGTTCTCCATGACAGGAGTCAAAACACTGAATCCCGTGCCAAGGCACCTGAGAATACACTTGATTTCCCCACAATTTTTTGCCACTGTTTTAAATTAATGGGATGTTCTAGAGTGTGTGGTTAACTAGGAGTGTTTCTGTGCAAAACGAAGGGATTTGGGAGCCCTGGAGAACAGTTTAGCAGAGGTCCGGCCTGCGCTTCCTCCACCATCCCGAGCAAGAGGTGCAAGCTCCACACCTCGTCGCTGTTTCCAGTGCTCGTACCTCATCCAGCCCGAGCCTTGCAGGGGTAAATTACTTATGTGGTTTGGGTTCAAAATGTGCCTCCTCCATGCTGGGACTCTGGTCAGAAGGCCCTGTGGGCACGCGGTTTGTCTCAGCTGCCCTTTGCTGGAAAGCCCCACCGGGAGGCTGGGCAGAAAAGCCATGCTCACCACCGCCACCAATATTATTAATCAGCCCACGGTTTGCTCAGGCAGGAAATTGTTGCTGACCACTTTAATTTTACTAAACAAATGAAACCACCCCATTACTCATTCAAATCTAATAAACCGCAGAACACAGAAGAGGAAGTGAGCACTTCAAAATGGCTTGGAGAAAAGTTCGCACTTTGTTTTGCCATTTAATTAAAGCCAGGCTCTTTACAGGAAAGGGAATAATTAAATGGCAACAACATGTGCACGATGATAACCTTTCTCGGCTGGCATCTCAACATGCAACTTTCTGCTGGAGGTAGAGGGACTTTTAATGCTGCTCTTCAAGTTCCCAGAGCCTTACCTGCTCCTTGGGAAAAAAAGAAATAGAAAATGCATTGAGTACTGGGATGGGCCTGTGCCGTAATGCCCTGCTGGATGATAAAGGACTTCCTTAGAAAGGGATCATGACACTTAACAATTGCAGAGATCCAGCTGTTTTATGAATATCTTGTGTTATTTTTTTTTTCTTCTGATAATCAAGCATTCAAAATATCAACAAAATATCGCTGTGGTTTTAATAGCTGCAGTTCTAGCGCTGGTTAAACATGTGATACGATTTGTATGCGTATGTAAATATTGTCTTTGCCATCAGAAGGCAGAAAAAAGCATGAATATACTTGCACTGCAGGATGAGATTGCTGTAATTGTTTGCCTTTCTTCTCAACATCAAATTACTCCTCCAAATGAAGGTAATTTCACAGACAAACGCACTGTTTTTGCTATGGGAATTCTTACCTTGCTGTAGAAGTGGTTTGCTGAAGCTTTGAGTTTAACTGCTTTTACCTGAAAGAAGACTTCATAAATGGAAATTATTTTTTGTGGTGTTTTGGCTCCTAAACACAGTTCAGAAAGAAAAGCACTGGCACCAGGTACTCACAAAGACACGAGCGAGCAAAATTTCCTTGCAACTGCAAAAGCCGTGAAGGCTTTCTCAAGTGTGTATGAGTTTGTTCCTCGCTGTACAAGGTTCTTCTTGTTTGCTTTTAGCTCCTTCAGGCTCAGGGGGATGATGAGTGTTTGCTGGAAGGTCCTTGCCAATCTGGAGCTGGACCAAGCCAGTTCTCACCTGGTTTGCTGCAGATGCTTCATCCACTGCAGGCTTAACTCAATGCACATGGGGGAAAATCAACATCAAGGTGCATTAGCTGTGTTGTGTAGTAAAGAAGCCCATATATTTTGTAAAATCACCTTTCAGTCACCACCAGAATGAACTGGTCCCATGCCTCTTATTCATATGGCACTTGCCTCTGCCCTTCCCCATCACAGGTAGGCAGCTGTATGGGATGCGATCCGCTTTACTTCCCAATCTTAAAAATATCCTCCCTACCAGCCCAGCTAGTCATACTTAATTTGTTTTTCTTTTTGGAAGGGGTTACAGATTTGACATCCTAGAAAACATCTGTAATTTTGACGGGAAAAAAAAGTATGTGATTCATAGTTTTCCAGAAATACGCGCATTACACATGTAACATGTTGGCACCCCCTGGTCGACGTGGTAAATCCTGAAACTTCTAAACATCACTTCTGTTCCTCTGCCACACGCACCTGTCCAAACAGCACAGCCAGTGCTGCAGAAAATGCTTCAGAAGGGTATCGTTTTGTAACTGTGTTTTGCAGTGGCGTGGAGGAATGTGGTGATCCAAGGAGATGGGGCATCAAGAGCAGCTAAACCAGAACATGCAAAAGAAAATTATAAAATGCACAGAAGGGTAAGTGTAGTCAATCCACTATGCTAAACATTTATTTCTTTCTGTCTCCACCTACATCATTTAGGTACCTAAATAAAATAGCAGGGTACCTAATATCCCCAGGTGTGCCATGAAAGCTATTTCATGGATACAACAGGGCAGTAAAAGCTTCCTTCACAGGCCCCAAACTTCCCCTCCAGCAGTGTCTGAGCAGCCCTTGGCTCCCACCCACCCGTGCATCCAGAAAAGGGCCAGAGGCAGGGGAAGGGGTGAGCAGATGTGCCCATGGAAGCCTATGGTTTCTCCCTGTGATGCCTGCTCAGACAGCCCAGGTAGCAAAGTGAACAAAAACCTCATTACACAAGTGCTGAGGGCCCTCTTCCTCTCCCATAGCCTCCCCAGCAGTTACAAGAAGTGACGGCAGAGCCCTGTTTAAAAGGAAAAAAAAATACAACCTAAGTCCCCAACTTTCAGAGCTTGTTTAGGATCCTTTCTGGTGTACCTCATGCTTCGTGTTTGCTCAAACAACTGTTTAAACAGTTTGGGTTTGCTCAAGCAACTAGATTTATGTCCTGGCTCAGTAAATAAACCTGTAGCAGTATGCTTTCCTGCACTTCTACCCTCGCTATTGCAAAATAAAACAAACCAAGGAGAAAAAAAAATGTATACACAGAGCCACAGTACCTAAATAGGTATCTTTAATGAAAAAGATCAGAAATTTTAGATTCGGTTTGTTGCAGGCAAACACACAACCTTTTGTGACTGCTTAGCTCCAGGATTTAGGTTCAGTAGCATCTCTCTAGAGCAAAAGGATGCCAAAGCAAAATTTTGGGATGGATGACAAAATATGAATGCAGAAACTCCGTGGCTTAGAGTTGACTTGGCTTTGGCTGAAGCTGCAGAATCTGAGGAGCCCTGGCTTACACGTTACATAGCAGAGCTCGTCATTTTCCACCGATTCTGAAATGTCGTTTTGTGATGAATACTGATTCTAACTACTAGGTGAGAAGAGAAATTTTTAATAGACTTTCACACTGTGCACATGTGGGGAAGTGTTTAGAAGAAAACCCCTGCAAAGGAGGCAGATACCAACATGGAGCCGTGCTGCACGCAGACCTGTTACCGGCATGCCAAACCCTTGCTTCTGAAAATATGAGCTGGTAAGGTTTAAATCACAAACACACGATAAAACGTACTTGAAATGATGCCATGTAAACGAAGGGATTGAAAAACAGCTATGTATCTCTGTCCTATTTCCCTTTCCAGGAAGGAACATCTCTTGGGTAATCTAAAAACAAAACAAAGTAGCAGAAAACTTTACTTAACCTCAAGCTAATTTCCTATCCGGACTAAATTTAGCTGTTTAGATTCTGTTTGGTGTGTGTGCCTCCCAGCCTACTGCCTTTCAGGGAAATGCTGGCTGTTTACCTACTGTCAGAGCCCTCTAGATAAAACTGCCTGGTTGCATTTTGGGTCTCAGCATTGAATTTTAGCACAAGACTTTGCTTTGTGGGTCGAGGAGGCAGCAGGAGCCTGATGGAGCTGGTCCTTGAATTTCTTCTGCCTGGCAAAGCCCAACCTCCGCCTAGTAAACAGCTCCCAGGAATGCACTCGAGGTGACTTCTGCCTCTCAAGGAGCAGGCAAGGGAAAGAGCAAGAGGATAAAAACATTATCATAAAAGCTTCTCCACACTTATTTTGAAACAGACAGTCATGAATTCAAGGAAGATCAAGGCCGGGACCAGCCCAAAACACTTAGATTATTTTTCCATGAGTCAAAAGTTATACTCAAAACAAAAATTAGCCTACAAACACCAAGGCCCTGCTGATGCACTAAGCATTTCCCAGCACAGGTCACTTCTGCCAGCCTCCTGCTGAAGAAAAAAGCGATCTGACAAATGGTCTGGAAATTTTTTAAAACTTTATTCATTCCGCCTGTCTCTGTCCTTCTCAAGCCTTTAGTTTCAAGGCCAGAAATTATTTGTACTGTCATCAAAGCACATAAAATAAAGCACATAAAATCTGAAAGGAGCATAAAAGAGCAAAAAGTACATTTAAGGACTGTCTGAAAGTGAGAGCAAGTATCTCTTCTGGATGCAGGGATTTGGGGAAGCTGAAGACCACAACCAAGAGCTTCTTCTCATACCTAACTGCGAATTGCTGCTTCTTCATGGTGGGGGTATTGCCAAGATGAGGACTCACCAGGTCACCAATGTATTGCCAAAACCAAGACTGAGTAATATCTGCTGCTCACTTCAGTCCACTGAAATTGGAGGACAAAAAAGAAGGGAAGAGAAAAAACATTTTTTTAAGCAAGAGAATTAAATGAACAACGACTTGCAGCCAGTTTCAGATGTAAAAAATAATGCCATTATTGACATGAGGCTTAATGGCGATGTCAGAACAAATGCTGCGAGATTGGTTTTTGATCCCCTGCAAGTAAAATGAAGGAAAGGCAATGCCAAACACACTGGGACTGCAGGCATGTGGCTGGTAGTGGTGCTCCTGGTGAAGGACAGTGGCTTGGGGCCAGGTTCCCCCCGCCAGCCCTGCTCAGCCCCAGCACCTCTGCAGGGCAGGCTTCACCACCTGCTTACCTGTCCAGACCAGCATCCAAATTCCCGGCTGTATCAAACCAGAGTTGGACTGCTTGAAATAAAAAGCTTTGTGTGCTTGTAAGTCCAGCGCAGGCTGCCTCTTTTGGTTGTGCTGGAAGGAGTAGTGTCTGCACAGGCACGCACAATGTTAGGCATCCTGGTCTTGTCAGGTTGGTAGTTTTTTCTCATTTATGGTCAGAAAAATCACCTAAAATTCAATCACACAAAATGCACTTGTTAAATTGGACCTTAATTGTCTTCATGAACTGCAAGGTGCTTTTAAGATTTTGCTATTCACACTTACAAATTGTGGCAACCTGGGAAGTAAATTAAAAGAAAGCTGTAACGCCAGCAGTTTCACCTTCTGTAATTGTTGGCACTTTCCCGAGTCTGAAGCTCACTTTGAGTTTTTGCTGGTGTAGGATCACGGGGCCCTGCCTGACTTACAGACCCACACAGCCTCTCGCAGGCCCATGGGGCTGCGTGCGATGGACAGACTGGGATTTAGCACCATTTCCACTTCTCTTTCTCTCCTTGGCATTAGCAAAGAAACACAATCACAGGCACGGCAAGCAGAAGCAGCTGGTTACTAGCAGGACGTGAAGTGGTAAATGATTAAAACAATTAGCTCTAGGAAGGAAAAAAAAATAAGAAAATGTTTTACTGTAATAGTCCCATTTTTCATCTGGTGACACCCAAATCTGTCTGAGGGCTGTGAAAGCTGATTCAGGGCTGGTTTTCACAGTAATGTGAAGGTGGTGTCAAAGACTTGTGTAATACATAACTAATAACTTTTGTTGAGTAATTATTGATAGGAAATAAGTGATTCAAGATAGAGAAGCCTCGCAGCTGGCAAAATGCAGTCATTTGCTGCCAGCGGTGGAGGTCACGGTAATGCTGAGCTCCCTGATCCACAGGGCTTAGGTGGCGCTCAGCAAAAAAAGGAAATTTATTTTCCCTGCTGTTTCCCCAAATAGCTGTGAGTGGAGCAAATCAACATCCGCAAAAGAGAAGAGGTCTCTTGTGTGAGGTAACATCCCATATGTTTTCAATCAGAATTTTCCATATGTTGCCCTTTGTTGATGCGTTTTCAAGCCACCTAAACGGCCCGATTGCAAAGAACGTGCACGCACCGCTCGGCTGAGCGCTGCCACTGCAGCAGCTTCGAAAGGAAATGAAAAGAGAAATGTGAGTCACTTGCTTCTCTGAGCAGCTGTGCACCCATGGGTCTGGCCCTGCTGAGGCATGGGTACGGGTTTGTAAAGGGATCCTTGCAAGTTGCTGGGAGCTGCAAGGCCTTTGCTCTCCTCCCCCAGGCAGTGCCAGGTCTTGGATGCCTGGGCCCATGTCATCAGCTCAGAAAGTGTTAAAGAAACCTAGAAATTGTTCTTCCCACCAAAAAAAGAAAAAAGTACAATTGTATGCTACTTCCATTTTCTGAGGAGGAAGCGGTGATTTGTCTGAGCCCTGCTATTGCCTGGGAATTTGGCAGCTTTTGGTGAGAAAGGAGTTAAACAGCAAGTTCGTGGTAACTCTGGAAGAAAACATGTTGTTTGAACTGCTTCTTCCCAGGGTAAATAAGCATTCATGTTCCGTAGCACCTTTTCTCTTTGAGGTGCTGTGTCTCTGGCTTGGCTGGCTTTTGTTGAATCCCAGCTCAGGCCTAACACAAATAACGTGCCACACCTGAAGATGCAGGCATGCTGGAAAATGCCAGCGTAAGAAAAACAAATAAGAAAGGCCCTGAAATGCAGCCTCCTAAGCAGACGTGAATTCCAAGGCACGAATTATTTACCTTATGAGGGCTGAGCTGTCTTGAGAACCCAGACGAACGAGTGTCCAGCGAATGAATTTCACACTGTGGCCTTTTCAAGTGTTGCAGCAGCACCGATGTGGCTGGGGAAGCCCCAGATCCTCTTCCACAGGGAGGTTCCACGGCCTCCCTCATACACCAACACATTCAAACATGAAATTAAATTAAGTAATACCCCAACAGGGCATGTTCTCAGGGGTAAATTAACCTCGTGTAAATCAGCACCAAGAACCAGCAGGTTCATGGTGGCACTGAGTGACACCTGTCTGTTTCACCACACAGGCCAAGGACCTGTTCTGGACATGAAGCAGGTTTAGGAGAAGAGTCTGCATACCCTAAATAGTTTGAGTTAAACTCAATTCCCAAAGTAATTCATGATTTGTTTTCTGGAGAGCTCTAATTCAGAGCTCCAGAACTGTCAATAACTCCTGTAATGGGAGCCACCTAAAGCTGTATGTCGAGTAAATGAAACTCTACCTTATCTCTACGCCCTCTGCAAAAATCTTGGGCTCTAGGCAGCAACTGGCGCAGAGGGTGGACACCTCTGAGGTTTATGTCCTTGTTCCCCAAGGAAAGAATGCGGGGGAGTTCAATCTTCATACCTTAAAATGATCTGAAAGTGCATCAGTAATAAACACCGGTGGTATTCATGGGGCAAGACTGAGAGGAGAGCCACAGTAAACCTGATGGTGACATTAATTATGATTTAAAGGAGTGTTTAAGCAGCATATTGTAAGATGCAAAAAGTGAACAGAACATGCAGAGACCTCATATTTGAATGCTTTGCCACTCAGGCATTCAATGACATAAACAGATCTTTAATAATTTAGCATAAGACTTTATTACGAGCTTTACACAAAAGGGTCCTAGATTAACCTTGCCTAGGAAGTTTCGATCCTGTCATTTCATTGTTTCTGCGGACCTGACTTTGCAAGACTAATAGCGTTCTTCCCTGTACTGCGTGCATCCTGTACTCACAGGGCATTTGCTGGTAGTCAACTGCTGGCTGTGCAGAGGAAGCTGTGTGAAAATACTGTATTTTCAACGGCCTTAACAATGAACAAAAACAGAGTTCAGGGTAGTAATGTATGTACTGTGCTACACATTGTTCATGCTCTGAAAAGGAAGAGGAACGTGGTCGGCTGGTTCAGAAATGAGACAGAAATGCCATTGAGATTTCATTTCCTGTAAAACAGCTTGCAAAAAGCTGCAGTCACTGCAGGCCTACCACAGCTTTTGGGGGAGTGCCTCATCTTGTAATATCTGCCCCATCTTTCCGAAATCGCTCATCCAAGGTTAAAAAGGCTAAAAATGGGTCTGCTGTGAATTAGCGAAAGAACCCCAACAGCTCGAGCGGATTGTGAAACTGGCTGGCCAAGGACAACCCCTTTGGATGGGGAACAGAGCTCATTTCCCCTGACCGCTGCCCCGGGTGAGGACTGGGAGGGAAGTCTCGGGGTTTCTCTGCAGCTACACAAGCCTTGACTGTCTGGTAATTAACATCTTCGTTAAATAATCATCCCTTGTGTGTCCAATGATGGTCAAGAAGCCGCTGGTCTCCTCGCCACAAGCAGCAGTGCAGATACCCTGCTGGAAGTTAAACCCTGCTGAAGTAATTGTTTAAAGTAGTTGCAGCCAAGCGAAAACAGGAAAATGTTAGATGTTGCTTGTGTGCTAGCTGTACACACCGCTGCTCAGGCTCATTAATCAGCCTCCAAAAATCATGGGATGTCTTGAAATCTCACTAATGTTTGGAAATTAGCTTTTAGGGGCTCTGCTTGTTTAACTCTGGCTTTCTGTGACTCAAGATATTTTTGGGGTGGTGAATGCTGACTTAGCTGCTTCCAGCTAAAACCATTCTTCTTCCTAACTACAAATCATGGGATTTGCAAAAAAAATAATTGCAAGAGTTGGCAACATTGTGCATGTCTTGGGTGGCTTTTATGGGAAGAGAGGTCATCGATGGCCTCTACTTTCCTCCATCTGTTCGCATGAAGCATAGAAAGGAAATATTGCCACATGAAATCAGGAAATCATCATTATATCATCGAATAACCTGAGTTCAAAGGGGCCCACAGGGATCACTGAGTCCAACTCCTGGCTCCACACAGGACTACTTAAAATGTGGATAGAAATGCCAGCTGCGCTTTAAAAACCCACCTTCAAAACCAGAAGCCATCCTGGGGGAACTGAACTGGGAATGGTGCTATGATGGTCACTTTAACCAAGAGAAAGCATTCTGAACAATATTTTAGTTTGTATATTTAAATAAATATATTCTGTCCTTTTTCTGGGAACTTCATTTCCTCATCCCTTTCTCCTCCTCCTCCCCTCCCACCTGAAGTAGTGGCTACCACAAAAGAGACTCCTTGGTCCCAGATGCATTCAATTTCCTGCAGTAAAAATTAAAATCATTGCCTTTTCTTGTAAATATCTGCCAAGGATGGAGATGCACGACTTAAGAACTTTCTTCAACTGCTTCAGTTCTAAAGGAATAAATCAGGAGGATTTGGTGAGTTATCCAGCATTTTCTAATTTGTTTCCATTGGCAGAAGCGCTGCAGTGAGTTACGTCCAAACAAATTTGGTGGCAGCATCTGCTCTATAATGACCTAAATGTCTAAATCTAATTTTAGAAAGTGACTTTTAAAGGGTTCAAGCAAGGCTTTCACGGCTTGGTCCTGATTTTATTTTCACTCCTTTAAGCGAAGGGCTGATTCCTGGCGTTTATATGGTCAGTGTTGGTTCACAGGTCTGTGGTAGGCCCCACGCCAGACAGGTCTGTGACCCACACGCAGTCACGTGTGGGGCAAGGCCCTCACATTTTCTGATATCAGCACTGGTTGTGATGAAGGTGGAGGGGCCGAGCCCTCAAAGCTGCTTTGTCTCACCCAGAGGCAAGCCTGTAGGGTGAGGGAATACATTTCAAATCCCACCTGATGGAGCTGAAGAAAAATGGGCAAGCTCTGGCATTGAGCAAACCTTCAGCAGGCCTGACACGAAGCAGAAGTTAAAACCTGTATTGACATTTGATGGAACTGGTGTAATGCTGGCTATGCTAACCAGGCAGGGCACTTCAAACAAGAAAATTGCAGCAGAGCGGGCAGGGTGTCGGCCTGGGAGGAGTCACCAGGCCAAGGAAAAATCAGCAGCAGAGTTGGAAAGGTGCAAGGAACCCTGTTTCCGTGCAGCCTGTGTGTGGCTGGGTTTCTCTGACTGCTCCCAGGAGGGTTCTGGTGACGTGAAGGGGCTGTGAGCAGAAATGTGTCTTCTTCGGTCATCTGTGCTTAAGGTTTGTCTGGTAGCACCTTGAGTGCTGCATCTGGAGAGTGGTGATCTGGCTGCGTGAGCTGGGGAGCAAGGGGTGCCCGAGTAGGGTGGTAGGCCCTCAGGTGAATAAACTGAACATCATTTCTGGGAGGTGCCACTTGATCGGGATGCACGATCCTTTCCTGAGTGCCATCATTTTATTCCTCATTACCAGCTCTGGTCACAGCCCTGTCCCCAATGGGCTGGGCTGCCTCCAGGACCTGCCTGTTGGGCTGGAGCTCGGGCAAACAGCACTGCTGGAGCCTCCTGGCAACTCACAGCTTTTATAATCCACCTGGAATTAATACTAAAGTACTCTTAAAAATCCCACTAGCAAGAAGGGCCTCTGTGTTCCTTCAGTTCTCAACCTTTTTGCATTTTTTTTCCACAATTCCTTTCAGCTGTCGCTGATGGAAGTCACTTCTGGGGCTCTGCCGCTGACTGTTGCATCAGATTTGGGTTGCTGGGTTTTGCTCCGATTTGCTCTTTTATCCTCTGGAATTCCACTTTATTCCAAATCTGCATTTCTGTGCTTAAATGGGCCTCAGTGCGCAGGACTGCTCCATAGGTACATGTATGATATTTACTTCCAGGCTATGCAGGGGGTTAAAAAACAACTCATTATGTCATATTGTGCTCAAATAAAAGAATATAAATGCATAAGAAACACCATATTTCTTAGCCATATGAGGAAATGAGCTCTTGAAGGGTATTTTATATACGTAAGATATAATTCTGAAATGACACAATTAATAATCCTGATGAAATGTACAATCAGCCTCAAAAGATAAAAGGGATCATTTCTGTACATGGCGTAAATAAGGCCTTAAAGAACATGCTCAGTGTCTTCAGTCACGTATAGCTTTGGTTTCGTGTATCAGGAATCTTGTTGTATGATTTTCTCTTCTTTTAAAGCTAGTGGCAAAAGCACTTTTCAGGTCAAAATAGTAAATAATGAATCACCCACAAATTCAGCTCATTTCCTATCTCTCACTGAAAAAATGTTGATTCCAGGCATGGGAGCGTAACTTTGAGCCAAACAGTAATTTCTTTATGGTGTGCATGACTCATAGGAAAGAACGCCTCATGGGGATGGCGGTAGAAAAAAAAAATTAAAAGAAACCCCATCAGTAAATTTGTTTTAAAGGAACAGGCAGTCAAGTAAAGGGCAGAAGGTCAGCGAAGGTCCTCAGCCATTTCTGCATTGCTCATGTGGTCCTCAGCCATCCTCCAGCTCCCCTGCCTCCACGTGCCCTCCCCTGGCTCTGTGGGAGCTGCCGGCACAGGGCAGTGCCCGCGAGAGGACAGGAAGGAAACCAAAACCAGAATCAAGAGAGGATTTCACACCGTCTTGCAAGGCCCTGGGAACAGATGGCTTCTCTTCAGTGAATGCCCAGAGGTTGACCTTGGTGTGCACGAGGCCTCTGATTCCCCACGCTGCAAGCCAGGGTCAGCAGGCACCCTCTCTCCTGTTTTTTATTTTAATATAATTTTATTTTTAATTTATTTTTAATATAATTTTATTTTTAATGCCCGGTGCCGCGTTAGCAGCTTCACACAAGTCTCTCTTTGGCATTACTCTTTCCTTGTTCACGAATGCAGATAAGAGCAGTTTAGCCTCCTCCACCCGCTGCTTCGAGCTCTCTCGATGGTCCCGCAGATGTTATAAATATTGCACGTCCCTTCTTGAAAGCGTCTCCCCCTCGGGCAGATTTATTCAGCAGGGTAAATCGATACGCAGCAAGATATTTCATGGAAACTGATTGTGAAATAAAACAGCATTTCAACGCAGCAATATCTCATCTGATTTCCATTTCTTTTTTTTTCCAGAAGTGCTAATGGATGATTAATTTCAACAAGCATTGCTACATGCATTTACATAATTATTTATAAGTAATTAACACATCTTGCCTTCTGTTCCAGAGTCAATACCAGGTGGCCAGGAACACAAAACTAGACAATTGTGCAGCACTGCAAGTGAATTCACTTAAAAAGTGATTCAGATTCCAGGAGAACAGAATTTAGGACCTCGGGGTAAGCACCTTTCCTTCTTAAGGATGTTGCAGCAGGTGAATTATGGGCTTCTATACTATAGCTGTTATAATAAATAAAACAGCTCTGATTCCCAATGAACGCTCAAAAGACAAAATCAAAATGTGCACTTTGGAGAAGTTTCTTATTTAAGAGTTAATTCCTGCCAACATAGGAAAATGCACTACAAAATTAACATTTGTCTTTTAAAATAAGCTGATGAATTTAATGTCCTCCCACTCAAACACCCTTCCTCACCCACTAAAATACAACAGCACTGGCCTTACCTGGGCAGCTGCATGGCACTACTGGAAGTCGCACCAGAGAGCTGCTCCCAGTGGGTGAGAGTCACTCAGCACAAATAACCCACAGGAAGATCAGATTTGTTAATCATGGCTTGGCTTAAATTATTTACACCCTACTACTAGGTCAGGGAGAGAGCAGCTGAGAGCCACTGTTTCCAGCTGTGGTACATTGGGAAGGGTTGATGCATTAGGGGAAGCCGTGGGCTAGGCTTTGACGAACATTTGGGGAGGTGTAGGACTGGTGCCAGCCTCTGCTCTGGTCCCCAGCATTTCTTCTGCAAGGGAATTTGGGGAATCAAAGTGTGGGTCAACCTAGAGCCTGCTGCACCAAGTGGCCTCGTGGGCTGCTGAACACAGTGCGTTATCTCACCGCTGTGGGTTATTAACTGCTGGGGACATATTGGCCTTCCAAGCTTATTAAATGGCATTTTCCTTCAACACCAGAGACACAGAACAAGCTCCAAGGGTGCTGCACCCACCACTGAGCTCAGAGGCAGACACCAGGGAGCTCACCTCAGCCCGAGCAAGCAGATTTTCTGCACCAGCTAACCGCAAGAAGCCGAGGCCTAGCCAGAGCACACGTACGTGCCGAGGAGACCGTGCCAAAAGTGAGCGCATGTGCCGAGGAGCCCGGTGAGCGTGGCTGTTTGACGGTGGCTGCTGGGTTAGCTGGAGGGGAAAGTTCTGATTTTCCAGTGGGAAAGGCAACAGCAGTGTGAGCTATGTTGGATCTGGGAAAAGGAAAAAGGAATGAGTGTAACTGGGACCGAAGGCCTTACGAACCTGAAAGAAATGTCAACCTCTAGTTTGCAAACTGTCTGGGAAGGATTGGGTGGTGCACAGCCCAATGTAGATAACAAAACAGACATTGGGTTCATATAAATCAAATGTTTGCACTCTGCCTGTGGTTACAGTGACCTCGGGGAGCACAGGACCACAGGAGACCCATGCTCTTCATTAAAACAAAGAAACCCAGCAGCTGGTAAACGTGAACGTGAACGAGTAAAGGAGCTAACTTCATGTTAGCACTGAATATCCAAGTTGGAAGGGACCCACAAGGATCATTGAATCCTATTCCTGACTCCACACAGGCCCACCCAAAAATCAGACCCTATACTGAGGGTGTTGTCCAAACACTCCTTGAAGTCCCTCAGGCTCGGTGCTGTGCCCACTGCCCTGTGCAGCCTGTCCTAGTGCCTGACCCCCTCTGGGTGCAGACCCTTTCCCTAACCCCCAGCCTGACCCTCCCCTGTCCCAGCTCCACGCCGTTCCCTCGGGTCCTTTGGCACCAGCCTTCATTCAGGTATCACTGAGAGATCAGTGACAACGCTGCGTTACATTTCTGATGGTGTTTTACATCCTATTCTTTCAAGTTAATTAACATTTTGTTTAACAATGACAATCTTGCACAGATAAGGGATGGCTGTTGTTTACCGGTGTGCTGGCTGGCATCACCCCTGTGTTTATCTGTCAAGAATATCTCATTTCACTGACTTTCAGATTAGATTTTAAAAGCAAGACCCTAGAGGGAAAATGCCCTTCACCACATTTCTCATGAGTCGATGTTTATGATGAGCAGCTTACGGCACTAATTATTTCTAACTGTCACTAAATCCCCCTTTCCTCCTTATTAGAGCAGAATTAACCAGACGGGATTTTGTTAGAGAGCAGCTAGGCTTAAAACCAAAAAGCTGCACTCCAGCTGGAGGTGGAAGAGCCAAGGAGACAGAGGCCGAGGGGCCGGGCTGTTGGTGCCGTGCCCCTTCCTGCGGGTCTGCAGGCTGCTCAACTTCAAAGGCAGCACCAAGAAGCTGGCAGAAAGCTTGGCTTCGTGTTGTCCCGGCCATCCTCACTTCTGTTTGTTTGTTTTAAAACGCTCCACTCCACCGGTGGACGCGGTCAGCTACGTTACAACACTGTTTCCAGACACGGAGGAGTGTTTATAAATCCGTGGGGAAAGAGTTAGCTATCTTTTGAAAACAGGCTACTTACGTATCTGGGCCTAAAGGGCTTCTTGGTGTTCGGTGCCGAGCCCTCTCCCAGCAGCCTCCCCCCTGCTCTGGGTCGTGTTTGTAGGGCCGACCCCGACCTTTCTTTGTTGTTGTCCCTGCAGGGACATGCCCGTGACCCTCGGGAACAGGCGAGCTCTCAGTGACACCAGCGGCACAGGGAGGCTGCAGGAGACTGAGATGGGCTGTCAGGACCTTTGTAGTTAAGGTGTTACGGTCAGTGCAGTGTCAGGGTTCTCCCCAAACCCATACTCACCCCATGGGAAGGGCTGCTGGATGTTAGGTAGCACCACAGCAGTGCTCCCTCATCCCCAGGGGATCACAGCCCCAGGGAAACGCCCGCTGCTCCAACCTGGGGCAGGGGCTACAGCCTGGAGCATCTTCCCCCAAAAAATATGGACAGCTACAAAGGCAGGCAAGGGTTTCTGTGCAGAAACGGAGCCCCTGTGGGGAACAGGGCCTGTGTGGAGGCTGGGGGCTCAGCCCTCTTCTTTGTGTCTGTGGATCACAGGGTGCAGCAGGGCTGGGTCCCTGGCTCACCTCACTCTCCACCACGGCTGCCGTCATCGCAGGGCTGAGCTGAGCCCAGCGGGTGATCACTTTTGCAGAACACACTCAAAATGACCTACCCACTATGTATTTAGCAGGACACGTTACTGCTGGGGACCATCATGTCTCACCAAAAGGACAGGGAGCACAAAATGCACCAAACCTCGGGGCAGCTTCCCTGGGCGAGTCTGGCAGATGAGCTGTTTGATGGTCAGAGCGCGGGGATTCCTCTTTATTTTCTGATGAAACAAACAGCAGAGAGCAGGAGGCCCTGCGAGGCCATTTGTAAATCCCGGGTACCATCTGCTGGCGGGAGCAGGCAGCACCCAGCGCCTTGCATACACCCATCACAGTGGGATGCGTGGCTATGCCCTGCCTCCTGCCAGCCCCGCCACCTTTCAACCACAAAAGCTGTCAGTACGCAGATGTTTAATGAATATAATTTTATTTTCAAGTTAATTTCATCAAACTCTTCATGCTTGTAAAGTGCAGACTCCCCAGGAAAGACGTTCAACAACTGAACGTGTCACACCCGAGACAGGCATCAATTGGCATGTGGGTTACTCGGCATCTCAAATTTGGGTGGATGCCAGAGTTAACAGATTTCAAGCCCGATTTTTGCCAAGTAACATAACACAAACTGTAACATTAGATGCACACAGTGACGTTACGTGCAGGTTAAAGCACGCAGAAGAGCTTGGAGGTGTCCGACAGCAGTGCGGGGTTGCAGGATCAGACCCCAGCTCTGGCAGGGGAGGTTCAGGCATTCCTCCTACTGAGCTTAGGGCACCTGCCCTGAACCTTGTGAGCAGCAAAGTGACACCTACAGGTGTGGCTGAGCTAACTCAATGCCTCACTGTGGACTGACACCCTTGACACAGAGAAAAATATTTGTAAAACATTATATGCACAAAGAGGCAGGGTGCTGTTCCCTGTTACTGTAAGAAAAAGGTGGTTCGCACACAAATGGATGGAGGAGAGGCATCAAGAAAGGGGCAGAGGGGAGAGAAGAGGCCAAAGCTGTAGTGCCAGGTGATGGCTGAACCCTCTGTGGGGCAGGGGAGGCCAGGTTAGAGGTATCTGTAGGGCTGCAGGGCTGCCGAACACTCAAGGGAAAAGCGCTTCAATGCTTGGATAAGCTCACAAAAAAGAGCACCACATTCCCAGGACCAAACACCTGACCCCTTGTAAAAATCTGCCTGATTTCCCCACCATCAAAACTTGTTTCATCAATTCAATTTTCATCAGGGTGAAAAGGGAACAGGCATATTTCTGCTTTTCAGCCTGTTGGAGGTATCAGAGAATCCCTTACTGACATACTCCTCCTGAAACTAATTTCTTTTTGCTTCGCTTCAGCATGAAAGCTCCTCTAATGCTCCTCCTGTCTGGAGGATATCAGGCAGCTGCGAAGTAACCTAATGAGCCTAAAAGGACTGATTGCTGATGATCCTAATCAGTCGCTTCTCTACTGCCATTTGGTATCTTGCTCCATCAAAGGAACAACCTGTGAATGAGCAAATTAAGTGTGATTTAAGGACACTTAAATACTCACAGAATGGAGCTGCAGATGAAATTGCAGTGGTTTTGGTTCTTAATTTTCAAAATTCCTCTCAATCGTTTCTGTCATTATTCTGGATGTGCAAAAACGAGGTTTCCAAACCAGACATTTGAACAAATCAAATAAAGCAAATTATACACATATATGGAAGAGGGACACTAATAATCTCTGTCTGCAAAACAAGTTTATCTGGCTGCTGCTTGCCAAGAGGTTTTTGCACTCTGATAATTCAAGAAAAATACTGGCAGTGCTCTGAGTGAGGCTCCCCTGCCAAGAGACACAGGGAATAATCCCCTGAAAAGTGAAGCACAGCAAAATCTGGGCTGCAGCTCAACATGCCACTTGGTCATCACGCTCACCACCCCGAGCAGGCAGCAATACGGGGTGCCAGCACAGCTCAAGCAGCAGCCCCATGTGCGTCCTGCTGATAGCCACGTCTCAATGGCACGCGTGCGTGATGGCGACCAGATTTGTTCCTGGCTGCATTTCAGTTGCAAGAACCACGTTAACTTCAATGCTTTGCAAACAGAGCTCCTGCCCAGTTGGGGTTAGCCCGGTGATGCTGGTGAGTGCTGCCGGGAAGCAGGATGCACACCCAGCTGTGATGGACCCTGCCTGGATGAGAGAATTGTACAGTGACCCAGTAATTCTTCAGCCTGGAAAGAAGTTTTACTCAGTCTAAAGAAAAGATATACAAAAATAGGTACATTCACAGAAAAATTCAGGCAAAAAGGGAGCTGAAAGTCTCAAGCTCTATCTGAATCTGACTGCTGGATTCAGAGCATCCAGGAGCATTTCCACTGACACCCTTCCACTGCAGATCAGATCAGCCCCTTTTTATAGCGAGATAGTGACTTGCAGACTGAGAGTTTGACAATATGCAGATTTGCCTTCTACTTCTGCTTTTTTTTTTTTTTTTTTTTTTTTTTTTTGTGGCCTTGCTTTTTGTGCCTGGGATGGGGCTTTGTAGCCTGCTCCATTCGGGTGCTAGCTTTACCGACGTAGCCCAGCTCTCCCGTGCCATTGCACATATAAAATGCTTCACCTCCACTACCTTAGGGGGACAGCTCGGTGGCAGAACAGGAGCTATCGCTGGGGATAGCTCCAGCAGAGCACGTTTCATGGATGCTGAGTGGTGGATGAAGGGCGAGCACCTCCAGCCTCGCCGTTGGGACTGATCAGTGGGAGCTGGCACCGACGTCCCCTGTGCTGCTCCCTGAGGGCTCTCCCCCAGCCATGAGCGAGGCACTTTGGCCTTTCTAGAGGCAGGCAGGGGTTAACACACAGCTGTTATATAGTGCTATTTTTAAAAGCAATTAAATGACATTGTGCTATTGCACGACTCTCAGGAGTCTCTGTTAATCGAGGTGGTTACCTTAAGCTAACTATAACATTTCTGATTCCACTGAGAAATGCAATTCTAGCTCAAGTAAGTGCGTTTGAACTACATTTTTATGGTAAAAAAATACTGTGCACAAACAGCTCTTCCCGAGAACTACCTCAGTGTGCCAGAGCCAGCAGGGCTGAAAGCTATTTTCGTTGTAGCATGAATGAAAATGTTTCTCTAGTTGCTGGGCAAATTTAGAGCAAATCTAAAAAAAAAAAAAAAAAAAAAAAAAAAGACAGGGAGAAATATTTTAAGAGCTGGGATTCTGTCTGTGCTGCAGGGGACCAAAGCACCCACAGCCAGCTGCCTCCTGGAGATCTGCACCAGGGGCTGGGCATGGCGAGGGCCTTTTGGTGCCTTAGGAGTTGTCCCCAGGATGGGGAGTACTCCTTATTTGCTGGCTCAGGACACCCAGCCCATGGTTTGTAATCTCCTGTTCATCCTTCTGATGAGCACAAGCTGAAAGAGAGGTCACCAGGATTTGCCCCAAATAGCTCTGGTTCGCAGCGTGTGGAGCCAAAGTTTGGATAAGCATAAAAAGCTTTGTGTAAGCCACGTTAAAGAAAAGGGCAGATTAGATCACTGGACTGTCTGATCATTTATGAGCGACTTATCTTCAGATTCCACAAGGGATCCTGATTTTGGAGCAGGTAGAAGATAGCTTTTTAATATCTTAAGTATCATTAATATGAAAGTTTATGAAAGGTGTTGTGTTTTTTTCCCCCTAACTCCTGATCCTCACCAGAGTCTCACTGAGGTAGGTTCTACTGGTGAGCACAGCTCCTAAAATACTGCATATTTGAGTATTTTGTGTTTCCTGAACCACAAGGAAATCACCAGCAATCGCCAAGGCCAGCCTGGCTGCACGACCGCCGCCATTTTAAGGGCAACGCTCTCTGAACGCACAGAGGGCAATACTTCAGCACAAACCCTTCCCCGTCCTAAAGCTTGGGGAGAGCTGACCGAACCCAATCCAGGTACAAAGCTGGATTTCTATGTGAAATAGAAATACCACAAGACGCACAGGACCCTGCTCACCACCAGCTGTGACCATGCTGGGCTGCAGGAACGCAGCCAAGCACGGTGCCGGTGCCCACGCAGGCCCTGCTGCCTTGGGGTGGCCTCTCCATGGAGGCTTTTCTTGGCTCATTTCGCTGCCCTGCTCATGTCTTCGCTTTGTCCTGGTAACCCATTTTCTCCTTCCACAGTCACATTAATTGAAGCTGAATAGTTAACGAGACGAGGCATGTTTATCCAACATGAGGAGTCGTAGCTGGCCTGGGAGCATAAATACAGTCCCAAGTACTGTTAATATTGCAGCACAAAATGTCCCAAAAGCTCCCCAAAGTAAAGCTTAACCCTTAAAAGGACAAAGTGAGGGGAGAGATGAAGGCAGAAGCTGCCACTAAATGCTCAGCCTGCCTGCATACAGCATCCCCAGGGGCGGGCACCCCAGAGAAGGGACTTTGGGGGCAGAGGCCCCAAGGCCCACGGCCTTGTCGCTTCCCTCAGAACAGACCTTGCTTTGGGACTTGTTCGGGCTCCTGCTTCACTGAATGGAGAGAGGCAATCCAGAGATTGTTCTGCCGTTAGGAAATCTGTCCCGGTGGCACATACCTGTGAGAACTCGACATCAAGTTCACTCGACACTTGTCACTTGACACCTTGGATATTTTCTTTTCATCTGCCGAGAGCCCTCCAAAAGCTGCAGAAGGGGTTGTGAGCAAGCTGCCAAGGGGAGGCAAGGAGCACCTCCAGTCACCAGAAGGGCACAGGAACAAAACCAGGCCTCACAGACCCGCAGTCAGCCCCCCAACGCGGGGCTCTGCTCTGCCTGAAGGGCTGCCCATGGCTGGGCTGCAGATACCTCGAGTTTGGACGCTAGGAATTGGAAACTGCATTTGAACACCAGCCAGAATTTTTTTCTGGCCAAGTCTCCGCTGTTGTTCAAACACTTCCCTTTGAGTGCATAGAGCGAAAAACAAAAAACATTTCTGAGGCAGGAAGGGCAGGAAGTCTTCAGAAACAAAGCGAGAAATTCCCCTCCAGCTTTCAGGCATTACCTTGTACTTACAAGCCTTTTGAGCCAGCAGCTAAAAGAGTAGATTCTGAGCTGAAGTATTGCTTGCTGGGCTGAATGAGGAGATACCTGATTGCAAGAAGGGGTGAGTGGTGTCAGCAATTCACGGACCATGAAGTGCAGGCGATGGGAGGGTTGGTTGGCTACCCCATGCTCTGCTCCTCCTCCCATCCTCACTCCTCCGCTGCAGTTTTGTCCCAGAAAAGCGTCTGTCTGCCAGGGAAACACATCCCTATGGAAACACGCAGAAAATCTTGACGCAGACGTGCTCATACTCTGACAGCCCGTACTTTTTGTGACACCTCTCATGGTAACATCATGAGCGCGTCAGAAAGACGATGGGAGGCCTCCTGTATCCAAGGCACCATTTGGATGATTTTCTACTGAGGACTTTTTTTTTTTTTCCTTCAGTCTTTCACTCTTCCAGCTCTTGAACTCTCATCACGACTAATTTTATCTGAAATGTTTTGCACAATCTGTGCATTTACCTTTATCAGCAAAAATCCGTAACCTCAAATGAGATGTTTTTGACAAGACCAACTTTCCAGCAAGCCATGCTGACAAGTGCGTGAGTGTGACTTCACTTCTCTCTGAGCTGAATTCCACTTCGGCTTTCCCCTTATCGTGTTCAGATACCAACAAGACTCACTTGTACCTATGCCACCGACAAGATGGATTTCTAGACATGCTGTTTGTACTCTGTTACTTGGGATAACACTCTAATCATTTTTTCCCACTCTGTTGGGAGTAAATACGCTAAGCACGTCATAAATTTACCAATTAACAACACCTCCTGCACAAGCATGAGGGTATGCATACGCAGGGCGGACACCAAAGCCCCATGGGTCACAGCCAGGACTTCTGATTTCAGAATCAGAACAGGCCCCAAGGGCAGTCACTGGTCACATCTGACAGCTCCGGGCTCTGCCCTGAACACCTGCAGAGTCCAGAAACTCAGAGACATCTTAGAACAATACCGTTTCATTAAATAGCACAGCCTTGCAGAGAACTGGAGACCAATCTGGACCCTGCTTTTGGCTATGGGGTTTGAAGCATTTGCATGCTTCAGGGCACTTTCCTTCAATGTCCCCTCCTGGTGGGTCCCCAGGGGCTCTTGTAGTGCTTGAGAAGATGGGGTATTAAGGAATCACTGTCTGTGCTATCAGTAACAAGAGGATATAAAGAAACCATGGAAATTATTCGTTTGGGCTACCTATAAGTGCTACAAGCTGATTATAGAAGTCAGAGTTTCATTCACTTATAAAGCAGAAATTATAATTCTCTTGCTTTGGAGACCTTTCCTTGAAGGTGAGAGGCCAGGATTAAGCCCAAACCCAATACTTACCTAAGGTATCCACTACATAGATCCAATAGGCAAAGTAGAAGTCCCATCATTTTTTATTGCAGCAGAATCCACCCTCAGTTTCTGCTCCTTTTGTCCCTGCTGTCAACATTAAGGAAGCCAGAAAGAGAATGCTGCTGTGCCAGAAACAATTAAGTGGGGTTTGAGACTCCAGAGCAACCAAACTGAAGATGATTATTTTTCTATTTTACATATAGCTTGGGATAGAGCTTTGCAGTCACGGTAATTTAAAATACTTTCTGCATTTTTAATGGAGAGGGCTTTTTTTCAGTTCTAAAAATATTCCATTTATTTTGTTCCGTGTTGTTCCCGTGCTTGTGTTCCTGTTAATGTTTATGGCAAGAATCCCTGCAAAATACCTCAGCTATTTCCATAAATCCACGAGCACAGCTCATCGTTTACAGATATATGCATGCTTGCACACGGCAGGTTCATAATTAGGCAGGATAAATGTCAGAACTGTACAAAGAAAAGCACAGCCCGCTCGGTGCTGGATGGCAGAATCCAGTGGGAGCAGTGGGTGGCTGCGAGTTGCCTGAAGATCTGAGCCCTGGCTGCAGTCAGCAGTGACAGATGGTGTTTGTCAAGGGGACAGAGCCTCGCCTTCTTATTTTATCATGGAAATTTCACAGTAAGAAAACTACCAACGGTCACTGCTTTAGCTAACAAATCTAAGAAATAGATCCCACTGAAAAAAAAAAAGCTGGAATTCCTGCTGGAAGAGGGGCAGCTGGATGAAACTGGCAATTAAAAATTGAGGTTTCTTTTATCCAGAGACATTGTCAGACATTGCATATATTTTAATTCCTCATTCAGGAAAATGCACGGAGCATATACAGAGATCACATCCAATACAAATTTATCATTACAGAACAATCAGAAAATAAAGATACAATCAACACATAGTCAGTGTAGCAGAACAGATTGAAGGAACTGATTCAAACCAAGAATGAAATGAAAAATACTTACCAAGTGATTTTTACACAGATGAGATATTTGAGCCTAAATTAATATTCTCAGCCAAGATATTGCGTTGTTGCAATCTTTTTGTTTAACAGCTGTAGCTGACTTGTGCGTAGCAACTCATTATATAGCAGAAGCCCATCAGCTGAGAGCCCCTTCAACAAACCCCCAAAGAACAGTCCCAGTCTGAAGCCTCAACCTACAGAAGGTGGTGACAGGATCCAGCCAGAGGAAAGGGAACAGTTTGGCCAGCGTGACAGGCAACAGCTAAAAGGCAGGTTGGGGTTACGCTCTGCTCAGAGGTTTCAGTGATTTCACTTGAAGAAGCTCTCTGGTTTGCAACCTTGACAAAATTTTTGAAAACTTTTGAAGATTTTGCAGGATTCTGTGACACACTGCCTGGAATTGATTTCGCGAATAATTATACTTAAAAACAAAGTCACAACACAAAGCTAGTTAAAAAAACTACTTTGACACGTATTTTGTGAGTTCCATAAACTTGATAAGCAAATCTTTTTTCCAAATGGGCAACTAAAGCTATAATTCCTCACTGACAGACCGCCTCTACTGCAATGACACCAGCTGGATTTAAAGCCGATGTGTCCTGGAGATTAGACCAGATCAATACAGTTGGGCATTAAAATCTGCAAAGATCGATCATCTGCCTACATTTCACTGTTGTGAATCACCCCTGCCTTGCCAGCACCACTTTCCAGTATCACAGACCCAGCACCCTGCTTCTTGACATCACCTTGTGTTATGTCACTTCTTTCCTTGCCTAATTTGAGCGTCACCACTTCAAAGCAACGCCTACCTCCGAGCCAGTGATGTGCTGTGATGTGGCCCATTCTGGATCATTTACTCGGTAAGACTGCAATGAACGGGACCATTAAAAATGTTAATTTAGTTCCTTACCTCTCTAGAGATCCCCAAGTAATTTCATTCACTCTGTGAAATTAAGAGGATATATGAACCACCACGCATCGACTCACCCTCTAATGACGTCAGTGAAAGGAGGGGCTGTATACTCTTATTCCCAAAGAACAAAATTTAGGACAGTGAAGAACACAGTTGAAACTGCAAGAGGAATTTGGATAAGCAAAAATGTTATTACTCAAGTTATCCCTACGAGGCAGGGACTGACCACTTGTTTTCAAAAGTAGCAGTAGAAAGAACCAATCTTTGGAGGGGAGCTTACTTCAAAGCAACTTCCAAGCTCCTTTTTTAACTTCTTCCAGTGTTGTGGAAAGATCTCAAAGTATCAGAGGAGGCTGGAAAAGTTCTTTCATCCCAGGAAATATACATAATATAATGTGTTTCCAAACATTTGTCTCTTAATAGCCTTCTCTTACCAGTTTGTATTAATATTCTTATTTTAGGTTATCAGTTTTTGGTCGGTTTGCAGATTTTCTCTGAAAAACTAACGAGCTAGCTAGAATTTTCAGTCACTCTGTGTCTGAAAATTTTAGCTTGTTTTTGAATGTATGCCAACAGCAAACAGCATCCAGAACACACTGATCCTTTACCTTGCTACAAGGCTGCTATTTGCAGCTAAGGTTTCTCCTCCTCTTTGTGCATACTGCCTATATTGTGGGAAAATGTTACCTCTTATCATGGCCAGCCCCTCGGGATACATGAGAAGAGGGTGGTGTTGCTTACATATAGGTCAGGGCATTATTAACAGATGCGACAATTTTTATCTTATCATCTGTCAGTTGTGCCTACTGCTTTTTTCCTACACAGTACACGGAGTAACATGATTTAGAAAGTACAATCACCCTTCTCTAAAAAGGCAGACTTGTTGCTTCAGGACCTTGTTCTTCCCCCTCATGTCAGCTTCAGCAAGGGGTGCCAGCACAAGCACAGGAGGAGGAGAGAGAAGTAGCTCGAGGAGGTGCTGACTCTGGAGCCCAGGCTTTTTGCGTTGCAGTTGTTGGAGTAGCAGCACTGGACGCTCACTCCGGGTGCTCTGGATCCGTCCCTCTTTGCCCGCTCGCAGAAGGAGCTGAAGGAGCAGGACTTCATAACGCCGCCTGCAACAGAGCCACAAGGAGCCGAAGAGCAGCATGCTCACCTGCACCGGCCCCGTCTGCATCTCCCCAGCATGGATCTGGCCATCCCGTAGTGAGGAACCACACCAGTTTCACCATTCTTTACCAGTAAATGAGTACCATGATAGCACACTAGACGCTCCCACATAAGCTAAATAATTGTAAATTTTTCTTAGGGTCAACCGATGCACCTTAAATATCTCAGAGCATCAAAGTGCAGTGCCTCATTGGGCTCTTTTCTTTCCTAACTTCCAAGAAAGTCACTGAACTTAACAGGTAAGATTTAAGAAAGAATTAGTTAATACTTAAAATGCTCTTTTATAGCTATTACACACAGTGGGGCATGGCTCAGCATCACGGCATACTGACAAATCATACTCAGCAAGGTTTTATAGTAGACTGCTGCTAAACCAATAAAACAAAGATTTATTAATTGGGTTTATTTTGAGAAAAAAAAATTTATTCTCCTTTTTAGCTGGCTATACTCTTCTAACACCATTAGGTTATCTATTAAAAATTTGACGAGTGAACTGGCGGTGACTACTTACTTGCTTGTCCTCTAATGACCGCGCACGCATCTGAGTGCCCCGGACATTGCTGCGTTCCTTGTCTGTTGCAGTCTTCATCGCTAGAACCTACGCAGGTGTAACACTGCAGTGCTTCACCTGCCATCAGGAAGAAAAGACCTTGTGTAACAGTAGCATCTAGAGTTTACAAAAAAAAAGTTTTGAAATATCAGCTACGCAGTCTAGTTTTGTTTGAACCACATGCAAATATTGCCAAAAAGTTTTTAAAAATCTAAAGATTTTTGCAAGTCTTATCAATTTTTCTTTTTTAATAGGGTCCAAATAAAGACTTTGAAGATAAAACTAAATTAGCCTTATGTTATTTGATTGTTAAATTTTCACTTAGCATAATCCAAGAATATCTGGTCTGTAATTGCACCCACACCTTCTTGTAACATTTTTAGAGAAGAGCCCACTGTAACAAGCAGGAGTATCATGGTTTTCTCCCCTCTATCATGGTCTTTGGTCTACAACACCATGAAAAACACCTAAAATCTGACTATGACCCATATTTAATTATCTCCTGAAGTACCAATTCAGCTGGAATGCACAATAGCTTACCTTATTAATTTTGCTTTTGTTTAAATATGACAACCACAACTTAATGCTCCTTATTCCCCAAGTTTATCCTTGATTCAAACTAGATAGTATGTCCAAAGGCAAGCATGAATTTGAAACACATTTAAATACGAAACCTAAAACTTGCAGAGCAGAAGGCGCTTCCTGTCCGCAGGGACATGTGCATTTACATTTGTTTGCACACGTATTTACATTCACATTACACAGCAGAAGTGAAATTCTGTGCTGCTAACCACGTACACAAAACGCTCTGAAAACTAAGAAACCTTGAAGAAAAGCCCAGAGAAGCAAAGGGGTTGAGCCACTCCTAAAGTAGGAAATAAAAATAAATTAAAAAGGAAAGAAGAGTTGACTTACTTTTTATTATAAGAAGGGAGCTGACGAGAACCAGGCTGAAGACTGTCCGCATCATGGAGATACAGGAGATGTACCATTAGGCAAAGAAAGCAGTTTGTTTGCTATTAAAGCCTTAATGCTTATCTTACATACCTAATCCTCCACAGACGCTGTCTTATAGGATAAAGAGGTGTGCAAGAATGCTACTTATCTAGCTTATTCTGGTTGGACTTCTAATCACACGGACTTCACCTCCGCAAACCCTGCAGGCAAATTCTACCAGAAGCAGGAAGCAGAAAATTCATTCACCTAGCAGTGACGGAAATGCTGAAAACCCACCAAACCATCGTATCATGTGACAGCACCAACCCATGCATACAGTCTCGTTACATTTGCCTGTGTGATCTGCAGGATCAGGGTCAGAGTATTAGATGTTTTGTAGGATTAAGCCTGCTTGAGACTTGGATGGTCCAAATCTAGCATATATTTTTACAGGAAGTACAAAATATAGATATAGAGATATAGACCTAAATATACAGCTAGGTGCACACAGGCAGTATAACCTTGCAAGCAGTCCCCCGGGGTGCTCCAGGTACCACCCCCGAGCAGGAACACCTCAAGTGCTTCCTGTGAAGGACTCCCATAACAAGGGGTGCTGTATCTGGAGCTGCACACGTAGTAAGCAAGTGAAATAAAATGAAGCCACTTCAAGTTTCAACGAAAAAATTTATTTACAATAGAGAATTTCATTTAAGTGACATGCATTTTAATTTTTTTTTTTCATTTTTAATTTTATTTTACAAATCAGCAAATGCAGATAAAGTTTACACTCCTTAAGGCAAGAGTCCCCATGCAAGTAATACATGTTTATATTAAATCCAAAAGACATCCAACATGGGAACTCATGTACAAAGGGAAGGCTAGGATCAGCAATTTGTAATTTCTTAGAGAACTTGACAATCTCCCTGATACAGGAACTTTGAGATCAACTTGCTATGAATTATACTATGAAAATGCAAACAATAGCAAGAAATTCTGATAGTCATCTTAGTACTGCATACAATTAAATCAACTTTATTTAGAAAGAAAATACAGTAGTGCATACGAAAAAGTGAAAATATAACCTGTCCACGTAAATGTATGGACATCAGTGTGCCAATGGTCATATTGCACTCAGTATCGAAGTCCAGAAATTTGGTTAAAAGTTAGCTTTTCCCCATTTTGGCAATCAGTTCATCACAAATCTTTGTTAATTCTTCTATCTCTTTATTCTGGAAAACAAAAAGTAATATTAAACGTTATGAAAAATATTGTTGCATTAAGATGAGTATCTGAAAAAAATATTCAACCTTTGGGAGAAGTGTGGAGGAATTAGATTTTCTCCAATACTGAGAATATATAAAATATATGTGTACATAGTAGAGCTACATATAATATATTCAAACAATATGTTTGTTTCCAGACAGAGCTCCTCCTACTTCAATAAATACAATTTGGCACTGAAGCACGTGGCTTTACAGCAGCTATTCCTAGCGTGGGATGATAACACGTAGTGTAAATTTGTTTCTAGGCTGCTCTTCATAGCACTATTTTCGTTCTGTTTTCTGGAGGCTCTAAGCAAGGACCTCTGTGTTATACTGGAAGTAAGCTCCTTTGCTAAGCTAGAGGACACAAGATATAAATAGGGATTTACACATCACTTTTGCTCCAAGCTGTACAGCCCCGTGTCTGACCATTATGTCTATACAGCAGCTACTACCATTTCAGCTAACGTTGGAATTACAGCTAAAATTAAAAACAAACAAAAAAAAATGAAAGAACTAAACCAAGGAAGACATCAAATCCCCAAAGCAAAGCAAACAAAGGGCTCTCCTTGGTACACAGGTGCACGCTGAGCTTTCACTGCGCCTGAATCAGCCCCCGAGGCTGGCCAGTGGCTGAGAGCACAGCCTGGCAGATGGGGCCATCTGCCCAAACTGCCTGGGGCACGCAGCAGATTTTGCAGGGTGTGTCCCCAGAGCAAAGAACTGCTGGGCACGAGGAGCAAGACGGGCCCTTGGGCAGCCTTTTGCCGTGGTCTGAGCTCCAGAGGAGAGCTGGATGCAGCCACTCTGGGGAAAAGGTTGTGCCATGACCATCCCCCTGACCTGGTGTGAAAAGAGCTGAGCTGCTGCTCACCTTTTGTTCCAGTGTTCTTTCCAATGCATCCACTTTCAGCTGCTCTTTACGAAGGCTGGCCTGATATGCTGCTTGCTCTTGCTGAGCCTTGCCTCTCACTTGTGCAATTTCAGCATTGGCTCTAGAAAAACATAGATTTTTGTCACGTCGGGTTGTCTACAGAAGGGGACAGAAGGTACCCAAGGATGGACTACAAGTTAAGAGGGTGTTGGAGGGCAGGGCTGCTTTCTCTGGATCTTTGAAAGCAGCCTGAGATTTGTCCCTAGAGACTTCTGATGACTTAAAAAACCTTGCTCAGCAGAGGTTGTAAAGTCCTTTCTAAATGTCTGGTCCCTCCCTACTTCTCTCAGACTTGTGCTGGCGTCAAAGGTAATACTTAGCTGGAGGTGTTGTATGGAAGGTTCTCAATCTGATCTCCAGTTCTCACAGACTCTTGGGTCTAGAGGACTGTGATATGAGCCCTGGATGTAATTCCCAGTGTCCTGGGAATCCAATACGAACAGAGGGAGGCTTGCACTGAAGGAGCTGAATAGCACTTACACGTTCTGTTCTGCTGATGGATGTAAGGGCAATAACACAGCACAGGGGCCACAGTAAACCCCTGGGACACGAACACTAACTGCAGGTGTAAATATCTGAGCACAGCCCTCCACAGCTGCACAAACCTAGCTAACGGCTTCTTTCTTGATCTTCCCTGCAAAATACGTTAAAGAAACATGAAGACATTTGATAAAGGTAGAATTTTAAGGTGCTCTATGTGGCCTCCTCTTGGAGGACCCTTTCAATATGAAAATCATTCTTTCTTTAGCTATGGTCACCAGCACATTTCAGAAATGCTCAGCGTGGCATTTCATTAGACCCTTCATCACAGATCAGTCTAGGCTTGCATAACAAAGGAACAGTTTGGGGACAAAGGTCCAGCCACAGGGATCTTCCTGCAGCTGGAACTCCTGAAAAGAGAGGCGTGCAATCAATTACCTGTCCAGTTTTTCCTCAGCATGAATTTTGAGTGCTTGATACCTCTGTTCTTCTTTCTTTACTCGGGATAAATACTCCTGCGCGCATTTCTTTAATACTTCTTCATTCTTAAATGAAAACATCACGTTAAATTTAACCCAGGAGACTGAAGTGTATGACAGGCACAGTCATATATTTAGGGGATGCTGTCTAACACGGACACCCCCACACAGAGGCCATCCGAAGCAATACTACACACTGCAAAAAGCTTTGCAATGCTTCTGTTTGCATTTGATTCTGGCTGGAATCCTTTGTCTGAGGACTGACCAGAAGTCACATGTTAGATTTACCAAAACTCTCAGTCCACAAGCCAGCCCTGATACGTGCTACAATTCCACAGTTATGTGACATTTATTGAAACTGCAGTATGGGAACACAAAATGGGAACAAGCTACTCTTGTGCAAAACCTTTATCTTCTCAGAGCTGTTAGAAAAAGAAAGCACAACCGAGCATTCTTGCTCTCCCTACCCACAGCACACCGCAGGCTGATGGAGTAAATCAGACTCACGACTGGAAACCAAGATGTGCAGGCTGTTAAGCAGCTTTGGTTTACCACCATGTGAGAACCTGCTAGTTTGCCTCTTAAAAGGATGGAACTTGAAGGTGACTCACCTTTCGAAACCCCTCCAATACTTCTTTCATTTTTTCGTATCTCCTGAAAAGATCTGCCAGTGATTTCTCCACCGAGTTCAGATCTGCCAAAGCTTGCTCCTTCTCCACTATCAGCTGCTGAACAGTATGATGGGAGACAGATTTCTCTCTCTGTTCATCCTCTGTTAGAAGGAAGATGGGAGGAGAAAAAAGCAGTCAGTAAGGACTCTGATTTCACTGTCATCTATAGCTTCTACTGTGCTGTGTGCTCTTTGATGCATGTTACTAACTTTGTGGAAGATCCAGAAAAGTCATTATTATAAAGAGACACAATCCTGTTTTGGAAATAGTTTGCTAAACACAGTGATATTTAAATATTTTGATACTAGGGAAAAATGTGAAATCATCTAACTGATGCTTTATTTCACTTTGAACTCAGCTGTTCCCAGGAAGGCAGCATGGGATTCCCTTTTTGCCTGACGAGGCACTAGCTGAAGGAACTACATAAATACATTTCTGCATATTGCTAGCGCTGGCAGCGAGTTCTTTGCTCCTGCTGCTATGTGCCTGTTATCTCGCACCATCTTCTCTAATCCCATACAAGGAATTAAATCAAGCACAGAACTTTGCTTAATGTAACCCAACTCAAATCCTGCCCCTGGAAAAACACTGCTTTGCAAACTCCCATTCTCAGGAGCTCTGCAGGCAAGTGCCAGAAAGGAAATCTAGCACTGGACAGGCTTCTCAAATTCTGGTTTGCAGAAAACATCTCCTAAGCTTCTCCTGTGTGTAACTAAGGGAGGGTGGAAAACAGGAACCCAAATCTGTACGGAAGATGCCATTTTTCAATGGTATTGACCTAGTGATAAATCAGAGCACCGTTACAGCATTAGAAGGAAAAGTCTGGCACTGCCTTGTAAGGTGCTTTACTGCTTGCTTCATATCATAAAATACGATTGCTGTGTCCATGCTTTAAGGGCTGCTTTGAATGACACTGCAATAAAGGCAAACCCACAAAAATCAGCACCTTTATACTACTTCGTTTTATAGTACTGTGTTTATTTTTCCCTCTGACAGAAATTGAAATAAAATAAGTTCTCCCAGCTAAAAAGCACAAGGCAGTTTGGACTCGACAACTTCTCATTTAAGCCTCCTGTGCTTAGAAACATTCTGCCAAGAGTTTAGGTTTTGACTCGGACAGACGCCTTCACCTGAAATCAGTATTTCATGGTGTCAGTTGGCTCTGAAGTGCCACAATTCATACTGCATTGAGTTTACAGCACGGCTGTAGCAATACCACGATTTTATCAGTCTGCTAACTTTCAATATTGCTTCGGAATGAAACAAACTTCCCCGTGCACTCTTCTGCATTTTGATCTCTTAAAGACACACTGTGGTCATTTGTAATCCCAAATAAAAGGAGAAACCCCTTGATTTCTCATTCCTTATTTATTTTCCTGAAATCTGGCACGTTGTCACCTTGTGCTCCAGCAGCAGACTCTAGGCACGCTGGACATTTCCTACTGCCCAGCTCAGGCCCCAGCTGCTGCCTGGCTCTTTGACAAAATCTCACCAATCACAGCTCCGTGCAGAAGAAAGCAGCCATCTGCACCATCACTGAAGTACTTACATGCATTTGATGCGACAACGCAAAATAATAATAATAAAATCTGCCTTTACTTTGTCAGTTTACTGCCGTATTTTAGCATCTTTGTCTTGCTTTCAGGACAAGTCAGAAAGCTGGAGACCCAAGCCTCACCCCTCACAACTAGGGAGCTCTTTGTTTTCCTCCCAGCAC